AGAAGCCACTAATGTAATGTAAACCACATTTAACCATCATAATACCAAACACAAGTCTGATCTAAGCTTCATAACAATAACAAATAAGCAGGAAATAAATAACTGCAGAAAAAATGAAAAACGTAAGGTTAGCATTAATCGAAATTTAGAAAAAGAAAATAGTCGAATGGAAACTACCCAGGGTGGGAAGCAAGAGAAAGGGTGGAAAATATTTGCCTCCTGTCATTACTAAAATTAAGATTATAGGTACACTACCTTAGCATAATCTACAATTTTATCACATGACAGGGGGCTTCATATTTGCAGTTTTAATGCTCATAATCAAGGAAAGTAAAAGAAACGTGAGAGGACTGTCTAAAGTAAAACATGTGGAACATAGATTCCTGTGACCAAACTGCGCATCGAATACTATCGGTCAACGATGCGCCTGCCAAAAATAGCCGCAGCCCCACAAACCGATTTGGCCCGAAGCAAGAATCTACACCGGCTAAACACAGGATCCAGCGAATCCATCTAGCCAAGGTTGTCGAAGATACCGATAAATGTGGTCTAACATAAGACACCAGTAGCAAACCCAAAGGCGAAGCCTGTAATGTTGCCGTAACCTTGACGTACCATAAAAGAGCATTAACGACTCACAAGCAGGGAACTGTCTGGTAAAACGGGTAGAAAACCGAAGTCGAACCCCTAACACTAAATCGATGTCCCATAGATGAGGATACTTAGGAGCGGGTGATCTGGATAACTTAATCTCTCTTAACAGGCAACCAACCATAGGGACCTGACCCACTGGCATGCCCCGGAGAGGAACTTGAGCCGCTGAAATCGCAGATCACACCACATTAATGAAACGATACCAGCGTCCAGAAGAGAAAAGGTGAGACAGATAGTACGGAATGGATGTAGTAGGTGCTGTAAAGGGATCTGCGTCTCCACGCCCCAGCTATTCCAAGCATACCAGGCGGAGATGTAACATGGGCCTGGGGCCCAGAAATCTTTAGATGCCTGTGATAAGCCGTGGACTGCCCAGGCTCCCCGGAAAGTGTCCAAGCCACTAGATGCAGTTTCCGTTCTAATAGTTCTAATGGTTCCCCCTGAGGTCCTGTCAGGAGGAGGGGAAATGCCGGTAAAAACAGTGGGTGGTCTTGAGACAATTCCAGTAGATCTGGAAACCACACTTGGCCCCTCCATATGGGGGTGATGATAAGGAGGGATCCTCAGTGGAGGTGTAAGGGATGTATCACCCTCATTAGCATAGGGAATGGAGGAAAGACGTAGGCCCCCTCATGTGGCCAGTTCTGTAGGAATGCGTCCACCGCCACGCATTCTGGGTCATGGAGCCAACTGAAGTACCTCGGGCATTCTCGGTATGTCCTGGAGACAAACAAGTCCACTTGTAGAGGGCCCCTGAGATCCATCAGGGTGTAAAAAACTGAGTCATCTAGCCGCCAGTCACTGGTGTCTCGCCAGTGGTGAGAGAACCAGTCTGCCGTGAGGTTGCTGATCCTGGGAGATACTCTGCCTGCAGCGTAATGTTGCGTGAGAGGCAACATTTTTAAATGTCCTTCGTCGCTTCAAAGAAGGAGATCTGTCACCTTCCAGGCGATTGATGTATTGAACTGCCGAGATTTTGTATATCCAGAGTAGGATGTAACAATCTGAGAGGTCATTGGCCAGACTGTGTATGGCAAATGACCAGGCAATCAACTCCAAGCAATTTACATGTAAACTGGTCTCTTCCTCCGACCACAGACCTCCTGTGGATGCGTCCGCGCAATGGGCTCCTCAGTCCCAGAGGCTGGCATCCAACTCCACCATGAATATGGACCAAATATCTCTCTGCCATTCCAGGCTTGTATGTATAAAAGCCACCATCTGAGTTCTGCCCACACCTCCCTTGAGAGGGTATCCAGTGATCGTACATGTGGCCCAAGCATATGGGCTTTGCCTTTAACCATTGCATGGCACGGTAGTGTAGAGGTCCTGGGAATATCGCTTTGATTGATCAGGAGAGGAGTCCTGCGATCCGTGCAAGGAGTCGTAGGGGGACCATTTCCATGAGAAGAATTTGTCTAATCTCTTTCCGGATAAATGCTATCTTTGCTGTGGGTAGGTGAAGAACACAGCTTATTGAGTCTATTTCGAGGCCGAGGAATTGTATGACCTGAGACGGTGAGAGTGCTGACTTCTGTCTGTTCACCACAAAGCCCAAGGACTCCAGAAAATGAACGACAAATCTTGTCTGAAAAGTGTAGTGTGGAGGCTGCGTTGCAGAAGATTAGCAAATCGTCCAGGTAGATGATGCAACGGATGCCCCTGGATCGGAGGTGACCCATAACCAGATTCAGCAGCTTCATGAAGCATCACGGAGCCGAGCTGAGGCCGAAGGGAAGGCACATAAATTGGTATGCATGATGGCCCCAGATGAACCAAAGGAACCGCTGGCTGTCCGGTGCAACAGGCACGGAAAGATACGCATCCTTGAGATCGAGGCGGGTGAACCAGTCATTGGCCCACAGTAGGAGTCCTTCCATTTTGAAGTGTTGGTATATGACATAATCACCCATCTTTTTCTTTACCAGAAAGATGTTGCTGTAGAAACCCCATCCGTCCGGTGCGTACTGGACCATGCCTTTGATGAACAGTGATTCCATCTTTTCGTCTATGAGGAGTCTCTCTCCCCTGGAGGTCTGTCTGGGTAAGGACTGGAACTCAATAACATGCCCCTAGATCATTTGAATGATCATGCATCTACGGTGATCTCCATCCAATTCTGTAAGAAAGAGATAAATGGCCTGCAATCATAGTGTTAAGCGGAGTACCATAGGGTGGGACTCACCTGTAGGGAAGCGACCTCGGCCACTTTCTCCAGATCCTCTCGGACGGTCTGCTCCTAAATGAAACGGTGGCCTTGCCGTGTATGATGTGTAGAATGAGGAAGATTGTGCATAAGCTCTAGGGCATGTGTACCAAAATTGGCTGGTGGTGCGGCCCCGCTGCCGACCAGCCCTCCCAAAAACACCTCTGCCAGGTGGGTGGCGGAATACTTACTTCAGGGTGGTTTGAGCCTTGTTCAACATTGTGAATAGGTTGACATGCTTCTTTAGCTCTGTTATAAACGGCTCTCCAAACAGTAGGCCCTTAGCCAGGGGGCCCAACTCTTTGGAGCCCAGTTCCAAGAGTTTCGAGTTCATCCTTACAAGTGCCGACCTGCATCTCTCAACGGCAGCATTGGCATTTCCAAGCATACAAATTGAGCGTTGTGCCCATTCACCTGGGTCTAATTGGGTACCCTGGGACAGAGCTAGGTCCGCAAAATAAAGTACTTTGGCTAGTGGGCCAAGTAAGTCCAATAACTTGCCTTGGGCTGATTTAAGCCATCTTTCAATGCCCTTGCGAGGGTCTCTGCTGGTTTGTGACATAAAGACCATGACCTGGTATCAAATTCCGGAGTATTGGCAATTTTGCCCGGCAAGAGTGGTCGGGGGCACTCTGCCCGCAGACGTGCCTGGACTTACTTATCCAAAGGCTTGCGTAGCCAAAAGTTAATGAACTGGTTCAGGTGGTTGTATATACAGCCATCAATCAGAGTACAGTGCCAAATAAGAAGGGCTCACCCTCTGGGGTTCTAAAGGGGGGTTCCATTAAGTGAATGGGAAAATATGCCACTTCATTGTGGATTCCAAATTGTCAGTGGTGACATATACAGCTAAGGGGTGTACCCCAGTTGCACGTCAAGGCAACGACCTCTGTGATCAGCCATATGCAGGTGTCTATAAACAGCTTAACAAATATTGGATATCCCTTTGTGCCAGTAATGGCTTCACACCTGAAATCTGGGGGCTCACCCCAGGTGGCGTACCTTGTGCACAGAAGGTCCCTACAAATAGCAACTGGTATAAGGCAGACAGGCATAAAGCACAGAGTACAGCCCTGAACTAGATCCACCACAGTGGGTTATATCAAATAATCAGCAATTACAAACCCCAGAATGCGGTCCCTTGTGTGACAGTGACTCAATTGATTAAGACATTTTCCATATATTGGCATAAACACAGTATGTTTCCCTCTAGCCAAAGGTACCTTTATAGATGATATAGCCGGATTAGCAGGTCCTTTAGGCAGTATGTGACCGTTGAATACAGTTAGAAGCACTTGTCCAAGGGCAAATGGAGGTCCAGATCACAGAAATACTGAAGGAGAAAGAAAATGGCCGGCGTGAATCTCACGGCGACTGTGAGATCCAAAATGGCCACCTCATGCGATATGGCGAGGAAGAAAACAGCGCTGGTGCCCCCCAGCACCCATACACCTCCCCACAGAAAACCCCAGAGGTAACAGAAAATCAGATAGGAGTGCGATTGGGGCACTCGCCAATCGCGACGCGCGAGGGGCTAAGGAAGTAGGACAGACCAGGGGAATAATAGGAGCAGGTCAAATAAAAAATGCCAATTTTTAGCAATGACCCTAATTTGTTAATTTTATTACATGACAGGAGGCTTCGTATTTGCTTAAGTCTCTCTTTACTAGAACTCCACAGCAGCACAGAAAACAACCAATCAGAAAAAAAGTTACTATAAAACTCCACTCCCCATGCATCATTTCCTCTTTCTTTGCTGCTCCACAGTCAGTACAGGTCAGAGTACCACTGCCTCCTGCTTCTAGTTGGTGGCTTTGGGTTTTATTAGGATTTATTGATGATTTATATCTATTGTGTTTTTACTTATGATTTATACTACCTTTATTATTTTATTATTATTTGGGATTTTTTTATGATTTAAATGAATCATGTTTTTCTTATGATTTAGATTGCCCTCATTTAGATTATTTGGGATTTATTGATGATTTAGATTAATCATTTTTTACTTATGATTTTTATTTCCCATGTTTTTCTCTGTGATGTCTTCTATTGGTGGTGGTTTTAAGGGGGGCCCTAGGGGTACCTTATGTCAGTGTGCCTTCCCATTGCTTTTCCCTCCTTCCCCACCCCAGCTAACCCACTATCTCATCCCCACTAGCCTGCCCTTTTCACTCGCGGGCTGCAGGTGCTCCGCTCGGGGTTTCAGGTGGCTAGCCGTCTGGCTGCCTCCCTGGACTCCCCGAATGGCAAGGTGAAACTTTTGGTGCCTGAGGTACTCGCGGTCGGACGCGAGTACCCGGCGGCCAGATCTGCTCGCACACGTGGCCACCTCCCGCAACAGGCCCGTGCTGCGAGCCGCGTGCGTCCGACCAGCTAGAGGAGGGGGCGCTTACTCACGGCCCGCTCCCCCTGCCTGCGGAGGTCGGATCGCGAGGTTGTTGTCCCGCTGGCTTTCTGACTCTGTAGCATGGCGCCTACAGAGCCAGTTACTGGTTTAGCTCTAGCAATATGTTTCTGTAAGTTTACTTGCCCCTGAGCCTGCTAGGGAGCCACAGGCTCGTTAGCTAAGGAGTTGGGAAGGTTGCTCAATGGGAGGTTCATATATGACTATGTTACACCTTCTTGGTATAGAGCATGTTATATTAACCTGCAGGTGATATGATGAGGTTGTGTGTATATAATAAAGAATCTCTAAGATGGCTATCAGTGCATAGGCATAGTCATGTCACTGAAATCACCCTATAGCTCTTGTTTTAATGAGCACTATAATCACTGGAACAACACCAACTTAAAGATCCCCTTCAGCTGTACTACCATTATTTTGCCTGCGGGGCATGAAGGGACCGCCAGTTCCCGTTAAGGCTTATTCACACAGCATTACGCAGTTTAAAGGGATTGGTGTCTGAGGTCTTGTGTCACAAGATACCATGAGGATTTACAGATAGTCATGGGACCCTGCCCAAACAGGACTATCTGTGATTGGCCTGCTATGTCTGTGCCCCATTGATTGGCCTGCTATGTCTGTGCCCCATTGATTCGCCTGCTATGTCTGTGCCCCATTTGATTGGCCAGCTATGTCTGTGCCCATTTTATTGGCCTGCTATGTCTGTGCCCATTTTATTGGCCTGCTATGCCTGTGCCCTTTTGCTTGGCCTGATCTATCTGTGCCCAAACCTCTTTTGGCTGCAGGCCTGGAGGAATATTGTGGGGGAAAACCCAGTACCCACTATTGACATGGAGATAGGTGGGTTTCCAGGCAAACACTGCTAACGTACTATCCAAGAGGACACCATTATGTGGGCACCTAAGGTGATTGGAAGGGTGAAGACCCTAAACCCCCATGCCCTAGAGGCAAGTCTTTTATGAAGATCCCCGGCCGTGCAACCACGGTTTATGTCAGCCTGCTGGTGGCACAGCTCCAAGGAGAATTTCGCAGATGTAGGGACCAGTGCTCAGACGCCAACAGGGGAGAACAGTGTTTTCCTTGTCGTTAGCAACTACCCTTTAGCTGCCTTTCCGGTATCCACCTTAGGTATTGGTAGTTTTTCCTGCGTCATGTTTAGCTCCTGGCCCTTTCAGTTAGATTTACCTGACTGCTTTCCGGTCTGCCATTTAGCTTCTCTCCGAGGTACATATCTACCTTTATTATCGTTTCTTTGTTTTGCGCCTACCAATTTTCCTATCGCTTGGGTCGTTGAGAGGCCTGATTTGGCCTCCTCCGACCTCCAGGGCTCTCGTGGATCGCGGAGAACGTCTCCAGCTTTCCTCAGGCTACTGACGGTCATCCTGGATCCCGCACGCATGCACGGGCTCCGGGCGGTTCGTTGGTAGATTTAATCATTTTTACAAAGGTTGCATTCTCTCAACATCCTTGACTGCACCAAGGTCGTATACTACTCCGTCTACCATCATTCCGGTTTCTAACCAGTTAATCCCACCTATCAGGTGAGTGATTCAAAGAAAGGTCTCGTGGTCAGAGAGGGATCCTCCTCAAGATATTATTAAAGGGTGAACCCGCAGTTGGTCACCCCGAGTCTGATATAGACTCTAGTTTGGATTCCTAGAGGGTGCAGCCCTCCATCACCTCGGCCCAAGACTGATATTTACACGAATAGAAGAAGATCCCCTCTCATATACTGAACCAGAAACTGATTCGTTATTAGAGGGCGCGGCCCTCCTCTTACCTCAGTCCAATACTGAGATGGATATAGGAGACAGGTTCTGAGAGTGGCCCACTCTCATAGAAGGAACCGGACACGGAGGTAAACACTACTTTTGTTATTAATGGGTTCGGCCTGCTCCTGCTATCAGCCTGATGCTGACACCGAGTTTGATTACATTATTAGAGAGTGCAGCTCTCTCATACACTCATGCACTACAGTGCCTTCCCTTTGTTCATCACACAGGCTAGTACCAGTACAGGACAACAATGCCTGCATAGAGGGGCGTCCCTCCTACATCTGATTCAATATGGAGGTAAGTGCCGGGTTTACTGCTGATGCTTCAACTCTTGTACAGGGGTATAGTACCTCACCGGTATGCAATGGAGACGATACTTCACAATGACTGGGTGAGGGGAGAGAACCCCTCCATTTAATCTAGCGTCCGTGCTATGAATTTCGTTATAGAGGGCTACCTGATCATTTAGACTGGATTTCTCTGTTTTCACCTCCTATAACGGATCTGCTGGGTCCGTACCACTGTATCCCACGTGAGAAATACCCACTGAGGTATTACCGGGTGAGTTTCTATACCAATTTACACGCTACCCGGAGACTTTATGGACAGTGTAGGGGCTGTTTGAACTTCCCATCTGTGGTACAGCTCCCAGGATCGACCCATACTGTACTAATGGTGTTTTTACCCAGGTCAAGGTGACATGAGATCCTGAGGCCTTCAAAGAGCAAACATGCACTTCCTTACTCGGGTGACAAGACTGGCTACTACCCGGGCGGCAGGCACACCGTACGTATAGATCGCATAGAAAGAACAGAGTCTTCGGTCGACTTTGGGTCCCCTGGTCGTTAACAATCTTGGGATAGATGACGGGACTACCTCTACTCCTCTGAGAACATGATTCAGTTATGGGGGACCCTCCTTCTATGCTTTTATCCCTCACGGGAACCATCTTGGTTGTGGGTTTCCGCTAACCCACCTATTCATCTACCGTCAAGGAGACCTACTTGGACTCTATGGGGGGAACCCTGTGTACACCGACTTCTACACAGACGTCACAAAGTCGGGACGCAACCTATAGCTGGAGCAATGCTCAGGATCTGTAGCAGGCTCGGATATGACTGACGACGTTCTCAAACTGGACGGCCCCTGCGTCGGTGGGTTGAAGCTAGGACCTTGTTTGTTCTCTATATCTGTTCTCTGGAGTTACCTGTCGTTAGTGACGGGACTTTACATTTTACCTGCATATTTGAGATCGCTAAAAGTTTGCAGGACTCAAGGCTGTCATTAATAAAATTAAGATTATAGGTACACTAAAGGTAGCATAATCTACAATATTATAACAATAATTAAATAAAGCTGTGGACTAAATATTTTCAACAGAAAAAGTTATTATATGAAGTCTGATAGTAGTAGGGGGCAGTAGGATAGTAGGAATTAAACAACAATCATAAGAAAAACTAAACCATAAGTAAAATACAAAGTAAAATATCAGGAGGACAAAATACTCTGACCTCTGCTATAGCTGGAGCAGCAAAGAAAGAGGAAATGATGGGCGTGTCAGGGCCTTTTGTGGAATGTTAAAATGTTTTTTGATTGGTTGTTCTGTGCTGCTTGACGTTTTCAGTAAAGAGAGTTATGCAAATATGAAGCCTCCTGTCATGTGATAAAATTCATGTGTGTCACTGACAATAAAACAGCCATAAATTTGCTCTTGGCGAAAATACTATAAAACATATAGAAAAAATCCACAAAACAGCAAAGATTGATCTGTTGATTCATGTCACAAACAATAAGTAAAACATGGTCACATTCTGCACAATTTTATCTTACAGCAACCACTAATTTTCTGTTAGGTTAAATAGAAAAATCATATATAAATAGAAAAATCTTAGATATTTCTATATAAGAAAGAAAGAAAGATAGGCACATAGACATGCAGCACACAAATACACAATATAAAGATAGAGATATATAGAAAGAAGAGAGTACTGAATTATGACTGGAACACAGAAACACACATTCTATTCCTACAGCTGGAATTAATTTACTTAGTGAAAATTACAGTTAAAGGGACACTATAGGCATTCAGTCGACTTCATCATAATGAAGTGGTCTTGGTGCCATGTGCCCTACACAGCTACTAGAGGGGTTTCTGTATAACTCTACTATTTCTATCAGATGGTCTCAGAGATTGGCGCGTTTTGCCGAGCATGTGACTGAAATTACCGATTTTGATGATCTTAGTCAAAGAGGCAGGACCTTTTGCAAAGAAAAAGAGTGGCATGGGATGCAAGGTTAGTTACCTTTTGAGGAGTTAAAGGAACACTATAATGTCAGGAACACAAACATATATTCCTGACCCTATAGGTCTAAATGTGCAGTTTAGGTCCCCAGTCTCCCTTGCCCCGGTTAAAGAAGGTGTTTTGCCTATCTTTTTCCAGTGCCACATGGGTCTCCTCATGGCTAGTCATGTCCATGCTCTGTCATTTTTTGGAGGGTGGCTGGGGGTGCCACCCCTGACGTGCTGGTAACTCATGTTGGGGGTAACGATTTAAGGTTGATTCCTCAAAGGGAGCTGGTTCGGTGGATGAAAATGGATGTGGACTGGCTACAGGAGCTGTATCCGGGCATAGTGGTTGTATGGTCTGAAATGGTGCCTCGGTTCCACTGGCGACATGCCAGGGAACCGGCTGCAGTTGCTCGTTGTCGTGGAAAGGTGATGTCAGTTTTTATTTGCTGGGTAGGTGGTGTGGCAACGAGGCATAGGGAATTGGAGGGTATGCTTCCAGGGTATTTTAGGAGGGATGGGGTCCATTTATCAGAGGTTGGTTGTGACCTGCTTAACTTGGGTTTTCAAGAGGGTATTCACAGGGCTTAGTTTTTGTGTGGTGAGTGGCGCTCATGAGCTTAAGGGGTCAGGTCATTAGCTGTGGCGGGGAGTGGCTAGGTTTTAAGTGGGGGTAGGTGGAGTAGGAAGTGGTCATGGCAAGGTTTGGGCTGGATTAGGCAGGAGTGTTACACATGGTTGGTAGGTTCAAGCTTGTCGGTGGATGCGAACCTGGGGGTGTAGGGGTATCTCGGTACACCCCTACAGTTTAAACATTTGGATATGGGGCCTCTTTTGGCAGGCCATGTTGCATGTTATATGTTATTTATATGGTTAAATATTGTTATATTGGTCCAGGGTCATTGCC